GTGTGCAGAATGCAAGAGCTGTGGGGCCATGGTGACTTCCACCTAGATTTCAAAGAATGTGGACAGCCCAGTAGGTCAATGCCTAGTGGTCTTGAGAGTGGGGCAGCTCCCATACCAGCATGCAACTCCTATCTGGGAAAGCTGGAGGCATGAAATTTTGATCTGAGCACTGCTCGGTGGACAGTCCACCAAAGCGGTAGGAATGGAGCTGCATGAGGCCTTGGGGATGCTGCCCCATCCTGGTGTGCCGAGGATATGGGATATGGAGTCAAAAAAGATTATTCTCCAGCTTTAAAACTCATTTTTCTTATTGGATTTTATACTTGCTTGGGTCCTGTTACTTTCTTCTTGCTTGTTTTTCCCTTTTGGAATGGGAATGTCTATCCTATGCTGTCCCAACATATATATATATGTTTATATATATGTGTGTGTGTGTGTATATATATAAAGTAGATAACTTGTTAAATTTCACAGGCTCACAACTGGAAAGGAATTTGCCTTAGGATGAATTGTGCCTTGAATCTCACCCATATCTGATTTATATGAGACTTTGGTCTTTGGACTTTTGAACTGATGTAGAGCAAGACTTTTAGGACAATTGGGATGGAATGAATGTATTTTGCATGGTGAGAAGTCATAAGGTTTGAAGGCTAGGGGTGGAATGCTATGGTTTGAATGTGTCCCCTGAAGTTCACATGTTAGAGGCCTGATCCCCAATGCAACAGTGTCGAGAGGTGATTAAGTAACGAGGCCTCTGCCCGCAGACACTGATTAATGCCACTTCACAGGAATGAACTGGTTGTCACAGGAGTGAGTTCCACATAAAAGGATGAAGCCAGTCCTCTCCCTAGCCACCCCTCTTCCCCTCTCTTACCCTTCTGTTTTCTGCCATGGAATGACACAGCATTAAATCCCTCACCAGATGTGAGCCCCTCAACCTTGCACTTCTCAGCCCCCAGAACGCTAAGAAGTAAATGTTTATTTTAATCTTTATAAATTACCCAGTCTCAAGTATTGTTATAGCAGCACAAAATAGACTATTCCCCCATCCCCTTCAACATCATGTATAATCATTAAATAGAATGAGTAATCTTGCCAGAACCACAATCTTACATTCAGTTTTCAAACTGTAGTTTCCCCCAGTTAGCATTGTTCAATGAATTTTTGTTATGCCATTATGTAAATGTAGTCTATGTTCATTATCTCTGTCTTATTAAATTCATCAAAAGCTGTCCAGGAACAGATTTTCTGTTTTGTCAACTACACCCATAATCTTGTTCCCAGATTTTTCATCAGTATTTTCAGACTGTGAGGGAAGGAAAGCAAGAAATGGGAACAATTTCATGAATTTTAAATATGCTGTAACTCTGTTTTAGTACAATAAAGTATATAGCAGTCTGCAGTTGCTTCCAGCATACCCCAATCTCAGGGCAGTGCCAGGTTAGTGCAGTTGGTTAGAATGTGGCAGTATGTCCAAAATTATTTCCCATGTAAATCAATTGGCTTGGCTGTGCAGAGAAGAATGTCTTCAGTGTCAGTCTGAACTGTTGAGGCCAGCAGTCTGGAAAATCTGTGCCTCTGATTATTGAGGTTTGGAGATTTCCAAAGACCTATTATTGACTTCTAATTCCATTGTGGTTGGAGAACAATACTTTATGATTTTCATCCTTACAAACTGAGATTTATAACCCAGAATATGGTCTTTCTTGGCACATGTTCAGTATGCATAGATATGACACATCTCTCCATTTATTTAGCTCTTTCATTTGAGCAATGTTTTGTCACTTTAGAGTACAGCTCTTGCATGTCTTTCATTAAACATATTCCTAGGTATTTATAATACAGATGCTCCTCAACTTATGATGAGGTTATGTCTGAATAAACCCATCCTAAATGGAAAATACTGTAAATTGTAGTGGGGTTTCAACTTAATATTTTCAACTTACAATGGGTTTATCTGAATGTAACCCCATTGTAACCTGAGGAGCATTCTGAATGTCTATCACTTTCACATCATTATAAAGCAAAAAAAAAATCGTAAGTCAAACCCTCCTAAGTCAGGGATCATCTGTACTATTATAAATGGCATATTTTAACATGTCATTTTCCAATTGCTGCTTACTAATATATAAAGTATTTTTTTATATATACTGAGCTTTTACCCCATGACTTCAACATCCAGTAGATGTTGAAGATTTTCCACATGGATAGTCTACAAAATACAATTTATTTAGTAGCTTTGAAAAACAGATTTTCTACACAGACCACTGTAAATAGACAGTTTTGCACTTTTCTAATATTTATCTTTTATTATTTTAATTATTTATTGTATTGTCCAGAATTTCTGATACAAAGTTGAATATAAGTGATGAAAGCCGACAGCTTTACCTCGTTCCCAATCCTAGGATTGGATATTTCACCATTAAGCATAATAGCTATTGATCTTTCACAGATGTCCTTTATAAAGTTCTCTTTTATTTCTAGTTTTGTGATTGTTATCATGAGTTGGCAATAAATTATGTCAAATGCTTTTTCTGCCATTATTAAGATTTTCTCCTTTATCAATGTTGTAAATTACTGTTTATTAATGTTGGGCAAATCTTGCATTCTGGATAAACCACAATTGGCCACTGTATTTTATTTTTTTCTGGGTTCAATTTGCTAGTATTTTCTACAGGAATTTTGCATCTGTATTAGTGAGTAATATTAGTTTGTGGTTTTTTTCCCCTCTAATGTCTGTTAGATTTTTCCGAAGGCTCTGCTGTTACTCCTTCCTCCTCTATTCTCTGAGTTTATATAAAATTGACATTGTGTGTTATTTAAATGCTGGATAGAATTCACTAACGGGGATGGTTTTCTTTGTATTTTTAAATTATGAATTCAAATTCTGTAACAGATATACAAGTACTCAGATTTTCTATTTCTTCTTCAGTGTTTTGATAATTTTTTTTTTTTTCCAAAAACTTTTTTTCTTGAGACAGAGTCTCGCCGTCATCCAGGTTGGAGTGCAGTGGTGTATGCTCAACTCACTACAACTTCTGCCTCCAGGTTCAAGCGATTCTCCTGCCTCAGCCTACCAAGTAGCTGGGATTACAGGTGCATGCCACCACACCTGGCTAATTTTTGTATTTTTGTAGAGATGGGGTTTCTCCAAGTTGGCCTGGCTGGTCTCAAACTCCTGACCTCAAGTGATCCACCCGCCTCGGCCTCCCAAAGTGCTGGGATTATAGGCATGAGCCACCATGCCTGGCCCCAAAAACTTTTTATTCTAAGTTATCAGATTTTATTGGTATAAATGTTTATAATATTATTTTATGGTTTTAATTAGAATTTTTCAATCTTAGCACTATCGACGTTGCAGGCCAGCAAATTGCTGTGGGGGACTGTCCTGTGCATTGCAGAATATTCAGCTGTTTCCCTGGCCTCTGTCTTCTGATAGCAGACTCTCCAACTGTGACAACCAAAAATGTCTCTGGACATTGCCAAATGTTCCTTGGGGGGAAAAAAACCCTCTGGTTGAGACCTATGTTTTAATGTCTGTAGAATCTCTAGTGTTCTTTCATTCCAGATACTGGTAATTTGTCTATTTTTAAAATGAGTTTTTCTAGAGTTTTGTAGGCTGTACAAAAGAAGACTATGCACTGGACTTGGCCTGTAGACCACAGTTTGCTGATCCTGACTTAGATTACTGATTTTTTTTCTTCTTTTCTAACAAAGGCATGAAAAAAACTATAAATTTCCCTCTGAGAATACTTTAGTTGTATTTCATAAACTTTGAAATGTTGTATTAATAGATATTAGCCAATTAATGGTTATGGAGAGTGTTTATGAAGTAACATGAGCTTGACTGTTATTCCAATAAAAGAGCTTACAAACAGACTTTTGGTTCTGTGAGAGATGAGCAATGAAGAACAACAATAAGTACTTTCCCAACTAGTTGATAAATTAACATAAACATCCATAATCTGGCAACAATATTATTTTGGCTCCTATCCCTAAAAAAAGCCAGTCTGCAACATCCAAAACATTTACCAACACAAGGAAATTGCAATGATTTTCCTGTACCTTATGGAGTATTAATTTGCTGCCACCTGCTGGGAGGCACAAATGAGTTTCCAGCATTGCTAGCTACAATTTGTCCTCAACTATTTATTTTGAAAATTTTCAAATCTATAGAGGAGTTAAAAGAACATTCATATACTATTCACCTGAAACAACCGTTTTTTTGTTTTGTTGAGACTGGAGTCTCTGTCTGTTGCCAGGCTAGAGTGCAGCGGCCCAATCTCGGCTCACTGCAACCTCTGCCTCCCAGGTTCAGGTGATTTTCCTGCCTCAGCCTTCAGAGTAGCTAGGACTACAGCCACGAGCCACCACGCCCAGTTCATTTTTGTATTTTTAGTAGAGACAGGGTTTCACCATGTTGGCCAGGATGGTTTTGATCTCTTGACCTCGTGATCCACCCGCCTCCGCCTCCCAAAGTGCTGAGATTCCAGGCGTGAGTCACTGCGCCCGGCCCAGGTTCAAATTTTTTAAATCCTTAAGGCTATCTAGTTGACAGCTGTCTTTAATGTAGATCAGTCCTCCTGCCTTTTTTTTATTGTCTTCCACATTAACCTTATTGAAAGGTCCAAACAAATCACATTCTGAATTTATCCGAGTGTTTCCTCACAATCAGATTCAGGTTAAACATTTTTGGCAAGAGTGTTACGTAGGTGTATTTCCCATAGCCTCATAATGACATGTTCATATTTTCGCCGGTATTGGTAATGCTAGCAATTTTTTTCCCATGAAGCATCTATTAACATTTTGCAAGAGACTAATGTTCCAAGGAAATGTGTTCCCCAAGCTGTACTGTTCAGAAAACTTCTGAATAAAAAAGTGACACGCATGAAAGTGTTTTAGAGTTTGTAGAATGAAAAGCAGGTTAAGGATTAACTCAATTTTAAAATTAACAAACTTCTTCACTTCTAAGGTAGCACAAACTGGGCTTTCATGAAAAGTAACCCTTACCAAAACAATTGTTCAGATGAGCAACGCCAAGTTTAAAGAAAGGAAATAAAATGTCTCAAGAACTGTCGTTCTGTTTGTGTTCAATAACTGAGATTTGAAAGGTCTGATTCTACGTTCTCTCCACTAGATCCTTGGCTTCATTTAGACTTGTGCTTAATTTTGTCATTGACTATTGAGTCTACGATCACTCTTTGGAGTAAAATAGTCCAAATAGTAATAATGAAAATGGTGAGACCAGTAATTCATTTACTATTATTCTATATTCAGTAAGAATCAACCTGTATCTAATAGCTGAAAAGGCCTGAAGCCTCCCAAATGCATGTCATTACACAAATTCTGTGTGAGGACTGACATCTTGGTTCCATATACTAATTATACTGCATGGCCCCCATTTATAACCATATCTACTTGTCATAATTCGATCCTGGCTGCTGCCCATGGATGCTATCTTTATCACATTATAGCAAACATTTGGGTGATTAAGTTTTTCTCAAAAATTCTAGAATAGCATACAACGGCTTTACTACTTATTACGTCATCTAAGGGTTTTTAAAAATTAGTTACCACTCCGCCCACGCAGTGAGGTAGCAAATATTATGCCATTTCAAGCGTGTGCCTTTCCCCCCTCGGGACTTCCCGTGGACATCCTTGCAGCAGTGAGGCTGAGTCCTGGCTTTGGGTGCATGTTAAGAAATACTAATCAAAAGGAAAAGGGTGCCTTTCAAGAGAAAAAAAATTGTGGGAACTTCAACCTTTAAAAACCATGCCATGGTTTAAAAACGTAACTAGGAGAAGCTTGAATGTCTTTAAATTCACCGGTCTGTAAAACGTAACGCGTCTCTCCCTCACCCCACATTATAACTTTCCAAAAAGCGGAAGAAGGGGCTCCGGGGGTCCCGGCCCCAGGAATGCTGGGGCTGACAGCAGGACTCGGCCTCCGTCCGACTCGAGGGTATCGCGAAAGCCGGGAGGGAACAAAAGTTACCCTCGAACTTCGGGGGCAAAAGAGTCCATGTGGACCTTAAAAAGGGCAAAACCTACCCTAAAGGCCGTAAACCGCCCTCCCCTCCCCCCGCCAGAGAACTTCCCGGCGCAGAGCTTCCGCAGCCTGCCGCAAGCCGGGAGGCCTTCACGCTCACGCGCTCTCCGCCACACGCCGGAACTGCGCGGTCACGTCCGCGGGGACCCTGGCCATGCCCCGCGCCGCCACCCGGCCCCAGGCGATCTCCTGGCCCCACGCGCCTGCAGTCGGCGCTGCTTCTGCGTGGGAGGATCCGGCGGAAGGGGCGGGGTCAGCCGGCACTTCCGTGACTTCGGGCGGGTGAGTATGGGGAGTGCGCGCGGCGTTAGGGAGTCGGGCCTGGGCTCCCGCCTATGGCAGCCCCCCCGCTGGGAGGCCAGCGCGGTCCTCCGGGGCGCCCCCTGGAGGATTTGGGGTGGGGGAAGGAAAAGGAGAGTATTATCGAATATTCTCCTGATGTTGATGTTAGGGGTGCGGATATGTGTGGACAGGCAGGAGTCGGCAAATGGGTTCAAATGGAAGGTTTAACAGAGGCCCCGTACGTAAACAGTGTTTTAAAATTCTCATTTTGGTTAAGTTTCTCAGGTTATCTTTGAGCCACAGCAAGGCAGCTTTGTTAAGATGGCTCATCCTTTGTCGCTGCCAAACCAGGTGAATGGTTAACCTGAGGCCGGGTCGGAGAAAGCCACTATGACTTCTACCAAAGAGTGAAATTAAAACTCTTTTCCGGGAAATAAAATCGAGGATATAAAAGTAGGATTCAAACTAAAAGTTACAAACAGTATCTAGGTTCTGTCACATGCTGTGCCGGGCAGGGGCTAAATCTCAGCAGAGGGCATGCTGTCTTCATACGTATTTCTCATTAGAAAATGAAAGACAACCTAAACCAAAATAATATGATAAAAAATGTTTATTATCTGTCTTAAGAGTTGTACCCTAATCCATACGTTTGGAAAACATAAACTAATAAAACTCTTCCAACTTGGTAGAAAGCCAGAAGTTTCCAGAAAAACTGTGGATTATTCAGTATTTTGCGGTTGTCTACAATGTTCAGAATATTCTTTTACAATAATTTTGCACTAAATATTGGTTTGTGTTCAGGGTAACAAGAGGTTTTTAAAAAGTCAAAGACAGGGACAGGTACTTTAAGGTCTGTATCCTATTAGGAGAGACAAAACAAGCATGAAGTTACATAACCATAAGAAATGTAAATCACCATTTGAGATATTTGATGTCAAAAGAAAACCTTTATTTAGAATGGAAAGAGCTGGTGAATGCTTGAAACATTTACCATTTAGCTGATTGTTGCCACATGGGAATGTGGGTCTCTCAAACGCAGATCCAATTGTCTCCAACACAGGCCAAAGATCTGTATTTTTGCGTAATTTTTCTTGATTTTTAATGTTACTTGCAACCAATTTAGTTAACCCACACCTTCTCTGGGTGGGCCAGGTGCAACTAGTTTGTGACCTCTGCAGATTTTCACCTTAGTACAGTCCTACACTTACAGAATGGTTCAGTTAAAGATTTTTTGACTTTGCAGTGGGTTTATCCAGACACAAACCCCATCGCAAGATGAAGACTCTTTGTATTCAGAAATAATTGGAATTAGAGATCAGAAAAAGTCCTAGAGATTGGGATTGTCAGGAAAGATTTTAAGCTGAGTAGTATAGGAGAGGGATCATAGAGGGGGAAGGATATAAAAGATGAGTTAAATCTTGGAGTTGGGAGAGTGGCAGGTTTGGAAGTAAACTCTCCTTAGCGGAAGTTTGGAAAGGCAAGTGCAAGAGGTGCTGCTGGTCTGGGGACTACACTTTGAGAACCACTGTCCTAGGGTACGGTGAACTTTTGGAGGAATTTGAGTAGGAGGGTAAGGAGATCACATTCACCTTTCAGGATGAGTCTTGCTGTGAAGTCTGGAAGGAGGACCGAGGAGGGAGAGAGAAAAGAGGAACGTTTCTTAGAGGCGATTAGCACCTGCTTGATGCCAGGCCCTGTCCCAGGCTCTCTCATGCATACTGTCTCGTTCATACTCACCACGACCCTGATACGTAGATCTTAATGTTTTCATTTTGTAAGTGAAGGAACTTTGAGAATATGAGAAATTACCCAGGTATCATAGTTGGTCTCAGAGCTTCCTAGTTCAACTCTAGATTTGAAATAGGGTGGTAGCAGTGGGAATGAATCAAAACATTTAATGGTGATGGAATTTAGAAAAATAGAGACTTCACAAGCACATTGAAGCCTAAAAGTGGAAATTTGGAAATCTGAATCTTATTGGAAAAGTGATAAAAGGTAAAGTGGACAGAGAACTTTAGAGAATCCCTTCATGAATTCAGTATTCATTCTTTATTACTCTTCACTCATGGTGACCTATTTAAAACCTATTTAAATGTTGCTTATTTAAGAAGTCATCCTGCTCTACAAAAATTTCTGAAATTATTTGAAAAAGAGAAAATAAAGCCTTCTGTTGGGGGAGAGGAGGAGTGGAATGTGGTAAACAGATTAATGGCATTTGACAGCTTATCTTCAAAAGCAATTAGGATTGAGAAATGGAAACACATGATACAACACTGCATTGCCTGTATGAATTGTGCTGTGCTGCAGACACTGATCTACTGTATTGATTTTGGAAATTCTGTATGCTTTTTCTTGCCAGAGTAGTTATTGAAATTGAGAATATTCATTGGATCAATTTCAAGATAAATATCCCAAGTCAGACTGCTGCTGCTGAGCAAATTTTTAATGAAGGAAAATATCCATATATTGAAATCAGTTTAAAAAGAAAGTCCTTAAAGTAAATATATATTACTGTAAAATCTAGAAAAAAAAATGTACATTTTATAAACATCAATTAACTGAGTAATCAGTGTAGTAGAGTTATTGACCCATGCAGAATTATGGCATACATTCATTAATTCTGTGAGCAAATAGTTGTGCTATAAATACAAAGATAACTGATATGGTTTGGCTGTGTCCCTACCCAAATCTCATCTTGAATTGTAACTCCCACAATCCCCATGTGTCATGGGAGGAGCCTGGTGGGAGGTGATTGAATTATGGGGACAGGTCTTTTTCCTGAGCTGTTCTCATGATAGTGAATGAGATCTGATGGTTTTAAAAACAGGAGTTTCCCTGTACAAGCTCTCTCTTTGCCTGCTGCCATCCATGTAAGACATGACTTGCTCCTCCTTGCCTTCTGCCATGATTGTGAGGCTTCCTCAGCCATGTAGAACTATAAGTCCATTAAACCCTTTTTCCTGTATAAATTACCCAGTCTCAGGTATGTCTTTATCAGCAGCGTGAAATCAGACTAATACACTAGATATAGCCTACTTTGAGGTATCTTACTGAATCTTGTAAAGCTGGGGAATTTCTCTTGTATTTTATTAGTGCTTAGCTTACAAATTGTAGGATGAAGCCATATTCTCAGGAATCCTGAAAACTAGTTGAAACATTTTGATTTGATTATTATTATTTTATGGCTGTTATGCTTTTAATGGAAGCAGATACAAAATTCATCAATGCAAAATAATGTTTTACATACTCATTAACATAGTGATTAATGTAAATTATATTTTGACAATGTAAAATACAGTGTATTTGGCCTCAAAAAAGAAACTACAGAGTTAGCTGCAACTTAAGATAACTGGAAAGGCTCCTTACATTGTTTTTTGCCCACCACCTTTATTGTAATAGTTCTGTATGATATCTGGGGAGGGAATTAAAAAATAATACAAAACTCTTTCAGCTGTGGTTCAGAGAACTGTAGTGAAGCTGTATGGCAATGACATTGTGAGACCCTGAAGTTTCCCCAGAAGTATTTCAATAAGAGGCAGTTAAGAAGCTTAATAGTTTCAAAGTCTGGAAAGCAGCAAATACATCTTAGAGAATTTAAAAACATTATAAACCCCACTTCTCTTCTACAGAGACATTTTAAAGCATGGACATAACTTTAAGGAGATAGAGAAAACCTCAGTAGTTTTCATAAAGCTTCAATGAACACACCCCAAGGCACAAGTGTTGAAAATGGCCTGTTCACTAAAATGTCACTTGTGGAGGTACAGGTATGCTGTGCTTACAGTGAGAGGACGACTTTATCCCTAGTTAAAAGCACCAGGTGTCAAGCTCTGCTTCCATTACCCAGGATGCACCAATAATCCCTATGATAGTGAATGGTTCAAATAGTATACTACATTTCCAACATGTCTTTTGCCTATTTGCTTATTTGTTACTGGGGTTCTTTTGAACCCCACAGGTCTATAGAATATTTTAAAAGGCTAGAACTACCTTAAAAATAGTCTTGAAATAATACGGAGCCCTTCTAAAAGAGCTCACTGGATATTTTAATAACATTTACAGAAAGAAAGAAAAAATTTGAAGTAGCTGAATTTCTTTCAAGTGAAGAAGAATAATGTAGAACATGTAATCTAAAATGTTTGATAATTAATGTCAAAAATTGCCAAGATTATTAATATATATTCTGGTAATCACTATTGGCCAAGTTAATTTTTTTTGCAAAATGCACTGTATGTTAATAGAACAGGAAAATCGTTATTTCAGACCACTAACAGAAGAAAACCCACAGCTAGAGAAGCATCTATAGGGCAATTAAATGTTAGGGAAGTTTACTAGCTTTAGAATACATCAATACACTTCGATTACAGAAATATTTCATTTTTAAAACTAGACTGTTTTAATGTACTTTTTGTAACGACCTGATCTAAGGAGCCTTGGAGGCTTGTGAAAAAGGTGTATCCACAAAGATGCTGCATTTCTAGTGTGGGGGTGAATTAACACTTCTGTAAGAAGGAAGGAACTGAATCAGCTCAGCATCAATAAACAACATTTTTCTTTTAAACAGTAACTCATAATCTGATGACTCACTTCACTTTGCTAGTTCAAAATTAGGCAGAGGAAGAACTAAGCTAACGGGTCAGACCCGGAAACACAATGATTTGGCAAGCCTCAGTCACTCAGCTCATGATGTGTGATAATCAGTGGAAAGGCTGCTCAACTCTTGTCCATTCCTTCACATCTGTAGATGAGTTTGATATAACCACTTCTTTTTATCAGCTTACCAACTTTAAGCTGCCTACAGGCAAAGAGATCACAAACTGCAGGGAGGCCATAATGGTCTGGGGGGAAGTTATATTCTTCCTGTAGAGGTGAATTAAGTAATACTTCCCAGGCCTTCTTTCGAAGCAGCCACTTGTCTTCTCCAGAGGATAGCTGGCTGAGGTTGCCCATCTTCTTTCCTGGTAGGACCCAGTCAGCTGTGTTAAAGGGACACCAGGAAG